TACTGTCCTCCACTGTAGGGGGGGATAGGCGTAGGGGGGGATACATCGACCCCCTATTGCCCGCTGATCGCGAATAGGGGCCCGATAGCCCCATTCACGGGGAGGTGCGGATTCGCGATCGGGGGCCTATCGCCGATCTATCGGCGACGCATCGCCGATTGGGAGCCTTCTGTTAAAAAGAATCCCTCTCACCCCGTCAGTGCGTCCCCGGCACTGCCGCAGTGCGTCCAGCACCGCAGGCTTGGGGGGGTGCCGCTGCGTTGTGCCCCTCCCGTCTCCCCCCCTCCCTCCCCATAACGCCAAGTGTGGCCGCGAATAAAAGAAATGCGCTCATTCCAGGTCGATGGCTCACCCGTGGCGCTCGGAAGGGTCGTGTGTCCTGTCGCGTGTCCTGCCCAATCAAGTCCGACCAGCCCCGCCCTCGTTGCCCCTCAATGGACGGCCCCAGGGCCTCGAAGCGGCCGCCATAGCCCGAAGACGCCGGGCATCCTGCCGCCCACGACTGCTCTTCTGGCGCCGCCCGAGCCCCAGGGGAGGGACGGGTGCTCCTGGCCCGGAGGCGTCCCTGGCTGCTGCAGTTGCAGCGCCACGCCGGGGGCCCCCGGGGGCCCTCTGGTGGTGGTGGGGAGGTGCTTCTTGGAGGCCACCTGTATTCGTCATTCTCCTTTTCCTTATTCTCCTCGTCCTCCTCCTGGCCTTGCTGCTCTTCGTTGGGATCCTCGCTCGGCCTCCTGGACCCTCCACTCGGGCCTCCATGCTCCCCTCTCAGGCTCCCGCCAGACCGTCCCAAGAGGAGAATTGTATGCGTTCTGCCTGGCACTAGAGACGTGCCCCCAGGATTTCACCTATGTCACCGACCACCTAGCATTGCAGCGTGGTTGGCAGAATGGTAGATGTCTCAGGCCAGGTAGCCTCAAAGGTAAGAATAAGAATGGTGACCTCTGGCTGAGAATTCGGCATCTCGTGCAGGATCGACCGCGTGGAGCTGACTCGGTCACGGTGCTCTGGACCCCGTCCCACGCCGATCCTCAGACCCTGCACGGCTTTCAGAAATTCCTAGCTCTCGGTAACCAGCAAGCCGACGAGCTTGCGGGAGATGCGGCCCACAAGGCGGCCACCCAAGCCCTCCCGCCCGTGCCCAGGACTGATGAATATGATGCTATCGCTGCGGTCGTCCGCCAGCGTGCACGCCTAATTCTTCGCTCTTTTGGAAAGAATGCAGAGCCACGAGGACAGTGGCCAGAGAAGCAACCCACACAAGAGGCTGCTCCCCGTTCCCAGTTGCAGACCGCTCTCGCGGATTCTCAGCACAAATTCGTTCGGTGTGTAGATAAATGGCGATGCTCTTCCTGTCACATTATCGTCGACGCTTGCCAGATATTTCCAGCTGCCGCATCGGAGTGTGTACCGCCTAGCCCCCTTCCTGAGTTTGCTGCGTGTGGTGAGGTCCTCTTGACGAGGGGCCCCCGTGTGATCAGCGGCAAGGCGATACACCCCTCCCACTTGTTGGCCGCCATCCCCAAATGGCAAATGTTCTTCTGTGTCAAGTGCGGCCATACGGCCACGCACCAGGTCAAAAACCTACAGTACCCCTGCCCGCTCAGCCACCAAGTTGGCGAGCGCAGGGCCCTGGGACCCACTGGTAAAGGCCTCGAGAACCTCAGCAGGATCCGACGTGGCCTCCACCCGTCCAGATCGGGTCCCAGCAAGTCTGTTTTAGCCGCAATGCATGAATCAGCAGCCGAAGCTGCGATAGCGTCTGTGGCGGCTCCCAGCGGTGCTCCCGTCCCCCGCGAGAGCCCCAGGGAGCGAAGCTCCAAGCCGTTCTCAGGACCGACCTCGGCTGAGCTCGATTGTGCCCCAGACGCGTCCTTGCCGTCAGCGACGGCAGCTCCCAGCAGTAATTCAGCCCGTGGAATTTCATCCGAGGCCAGCGTCCTTCGAGAGGTCGCCTCGAGCCTCAGGCAAGAGCCTAATCTTCCTGGAGCCTCGGAGAGGGGCTCCAGCTCTGAGTAAATTGTGAGGCCAGGGGAGGGCCTGTCGCGAGGTGCCGTGGGATGTCGCCACCCACGCCACCCCGAGAAAATCTGGATGGCCCTCCCTGGCGTTTTGATCCCCCGAACGGACTACGTCCGATTGCTCCACTCCACTCCTCTTCCTCCCCCTCCCCCTCCTCTTCCTCCCCCTCCTCCTCCTCCTCCTCCTCCTCCTCCTCCTCCGTAGCCATTTTAGCTCAAGCTTTTGGCTTAGTGATGGGCCTCCAGCCGCGTCCAGTGCCTTCTCGTGGCGCTGGGGGGCTCCGATTTCTGCTGCGGACTTCGTCTTGCAGCAGCCGTCTGATGGCGAGACTGGACAAACCGTGAGTATGGCTACGGTTGCGGTGCACGGTGAGTGGCTCCTGTATTTTGGTCAGCCCTTGCTGGTGTTAGCTTGGGCACGTGCCGATCGGTGCCATTATGTTCATTCATGACCTTGTTGGCAGGTTCTCAATTCAGTTCATTTGATACCGCAGTTTTTGTCGTGCTTGTATATTTCCTATGATGTACACGTTATTTTACCGTGTCCATGGGATACCCACTGGGTTGTTACCCACAGGGTTTTGCGGCACTTTTTGGTGTGCCAGTACGCTTGAGGAGGGGCTGTTTCCGGAGTGGGCGTGGCTACGGCTTTGCTGCGTAATTGTGTGTGTGCTCGAGGTTGGCGGCATCAGTTGTATTCCCTTGTTTCTTTCGTTTCAGCTGTTTCTTTGGTGTATTTGTCACTGCCATCAATTAGAACATCAGTTTCCCCGCTCGTCGTGCAGAGTGTCTCGATGAGCATACAGGTATGGGACTTCAGCTGTCGGCGGTTCTTCCTTTGGTCGGCTGGGGCGAGGTGGTTTGTGGGCGAGGCGAGCTCATCGATCGGTTTGAGTTGGCCCAGTGATCTACACTGTCGCCGTGTCGGCACAGCTAGGGCCTCATAGAGTCAAGCTCGCTTCTGCTTAGCCACTGGCTATGTCATTGTGGAATCGTTTCGGCATATTTGTTCCAAACATTTTTTTTCATATCGGGCGGGCTTGGCAGTTTCTCTGGTATTGCTATTAAGGTCGTGTGCGGGTCGGCTTCTGCGACTGTCAATATTCATTTGCTCCCTGCTGGCTCCTGCCCTTCGTCTTCTGGCTCGTCTACTTCAATTTCGAGCTCAGGGGGCGGCTTGTGTATCATTAAGGCTTCGCCTTGGCAGAATCCCTAGAATCCTCCTCCTCCTCCTCCTCCTCCTCCTCCTCCTCCTCCTCCCCCTCCTCGTCCTCCCCTCCCCCTCCCCCTCCTCCTCCTCCTCCCCCTCCTCCTCCTCCTCCTCCTCCTCCTCCTCCTCCTCCTCCTCCTCCTCCTCCTCCTCCTCCTCCCCTCCCCCTCCCCATCCACCTCCTCCTCCTCCTCCTCTTCCTCCTTTTCCTCCCCCTCCCCATCCTCCTCCCCCTCCTCCTCCTTCTCCTTCCTCCTTTTCCCCCTCCTCCCCCTCCTCCTCCTCCTCTTCCTCCTCCTCCTCCTCCTCCTCCTCCTCATCATCATCATCATCATCATCATCAGCATCATCATCATGGCACTAGTCATCGCCCTTCTCTCCGCCGCCCCCGACAGAGGAGGCTTGGTCGGTCCTCCCTGGAGAGAGCCCGGGCGCCCTGGAGGGTCTTCGACGTGCTGTCCTGGCCCGGGCCTTGCGGAGGCGTCTCGCCGCCACGCCGTGGAAGCAGTGAGTCGCATTCTGGCGGCCTTGCGGCCGGTGCCGCCGACCCCGAAGTCGGGCATGTCCCTCTGAACAAATAGTCAGGTGACGATGTTTTGATTACTGTTTTTGTGATTGTTTTGGGAGCTTCTAAACCCTACTTGTTCTTTTTCCTTGAAGCGCCATGGGGCAAGGGCCACGGCCGCGGCCAGGGCCAGGCACGCCGGAGCCCCTAAAGAGTCCTCTGCGCCTCGGGTCTGTGTGTCTGTGTGTGCTGGCCGCCCCGGGTGCGTTGACGCAGCAGCCGCCGCGCGCTGGGCAGCGGGGCCGGCCAAGCCGCCGACGCAAAGTGTTTGTGTGTGTGTTTCTCTGTGTGCGTGTGTGCGTGTGTGCGTTTCTGTTTGTGTGTGTGCTCCTTGGGGTCCACCAGTGTGGTTGTAAACCCCAGCCTGCGGAGCTCTACGCGGATTTCTTGGATCGGCGCTGGGCCCCCCTGGTGGCGCCTCTGGCGCCGCCCATGTCCCGCTCCGCGCGCCAGGGAGGGGGCCCCAGCGCCGATGCAAGAAATCCGCGCGGACCCCCAAGAAATGATGTTTATGCTTTTATGTTTTCTAAGTATATAGAGAAGTGGGGTATTCTTTGCACGGTCTTTGACGCGTAAGCTCCGAGGCGGGGGTTTATCCATGTCCACCGCCTGGGAGTTCGATCTTCGCAGACCTTCACGGGCGGTTGATATGGACACATTCGGGCCCCAGGGGGCCCAAACACCTATATATACGTATATATATATATATATATATATCCACATATATATATATATATATATATATACATGGCCACCGCCCGCTGGGGCACCAGGACGTCGGTTCCCAAGCTGGGGATATGGATAACTCCCCGCCTCGCACTTGCTGCCCGGGCAGGGTCGCGCGTTACCTTCGTCTCCAGCGTGGCGTGCCGCGCTGGCGGCCCGCGCAGGCCACCGCGTGAGGTGGCTGTGACCACCCGGGGCATCCTGGGGGCACTTCGGGCCGGGGACACCTCTTGGCAGCACCGACATCGGCGCGCAGGCTGCCCGCGGAGGGCCGCGCGGAGGCCGCCCTCTCCTCCACGCGGTGTGCCTCCCTGGCGGCCCGCGGCGTGAGGTCGCTACGTCTTCTCGCGTAAGGCCTGGTTTTTGTCGCGCAGGCAGAGCGGATGGCGCAGCTCGGGGACGGGCCAGAGGAACGCAAGGGGCCTGAGCCCTGTCACCGTGGGACACCTCGGGCCGGGGGCACTCTTGGCAACACCCGATGCCAGGTGGTGCAGCAGGTGGTGGCGCAGCCCGTGGTGGCGCAGCCCGTGGTGGCGCAGCCCGTGGTGGCGCAGGTCCAGGGCGCCCAGACGGGGTCGAGGTACGGTGGGCTCGCGTCGTGTGGACGCGGTGGCGACTCCGCCGCGCGCGTTCGGGGTTGAACGCCGCCAGTGGCCCAGAATCGGGCGATCTGGGACGATCCGGAACAATCCAGAACGATCTGGAACGACTTGGAACGATCTGGCGATCGAAAAGCCGCCGATCGTTCAAGGTTGAACGATCCACGCGGTGACACAAACCACCGCTGGGGTTTTTCACGACACGAACCTGCCATTGGTGGGGTCGGTGGATCGCGCTGCGTCGCCCATGCACCGACGACGTGGCTCGATGTGGAGCCTAATCTTCTCCACGCCGACGTCGCCGATGTGTCGGCGATGCGGCGCGCAGTCCACTGAGGCCGTCTGATTCGACCCCGTTGGGGCGGCCTCCAGCAGGCGACGGTGGTCCCCCAACAGCAGGTGGTGGTGCAGCAGGTGGTTGTCGCGCAGGCGGTGCCGCAGCCACAGCCGCAGCCGCCGCCGCAGCAGAGCTGGAGCAGCAGGGCGCGTGAGCCGCCGAGGATCCCCGAAGAGCTCCTGGAGATGAGCGAGTGGTGGGAGGACGGGAGGCTCCGGCGGCGCGCAACTCGAGAAGGAGGATGAGGATGAGGATGAGGATGAGGATGAGGATGAGGATGAGGAGGAGGAGGAGGAGGAGGAGGAGGAGGAGGCGGAGGAGGAGGAGGAGGAGGAGGAGGAGGAGGACGGGGAGGAGAGGGATTATGATGATGATGCTGATGATGCTGATGCTGGTGATGATGCTGATGCTGCTGATGATGATGCTGCTGCTGATGATGATGATGATGATGCTGATGCCGATGATGCTGATGATGCTGATGCTGCTGATGATGGGGGTGATGATGATGATGGTGATGGTGATGGTGATGCTGTTGATGATGATGCTGCTTCTGACGATGTTGATGCTGATGCTGATGTTGATGCTGATGCTGATGCTGCTGTGCATGATGATGATGATGATGCTGGTGGTGATGATGATGATGATGCTGATGATGATGATGATGATGATGATGATGTTGATGGTGGTGATGATGATGGTGATGCTGATGAGGATGATGATGCTGATGATGCTGCTTATGAGGATGCTGATGGCCGAAGAAATCATGCTACTGCTGCTGCTGCTGATGACGGTGGCGATGATAACGCTGATGTGATTACGATGCTGCTGCTGATGCTGAAGCTGATGCTGATGCTGATGCTGCTGTGGATGCTGATGCTGATGATGCTGATGAGGATGCTGCTGCTGATGCTGATGCTGATGATGCTGATGCTGATGCTGATGCTGATGACGTTGATGAGGATGATGCTAATGATGCTGCTGCTGATGATGATGCTGATGATGCTGATGCTGGTGATGGTGATGCTGCTGTTGACGATGATGGTGATGCTGCTGATGATCATGACGACGATGATGCTGGTGATGATGATGCTGATGCTGCTGCTGATGCCGATGATGAAGATGATGATGAGGAGACGGATGAGGAGGAGGAGGAGGAGGAGGAGGACGAGGACGAGGGGGAGGAGGATGACGAAGAGGATGAGGCAGGGAGGAGGAGGAGGAGGAAGCGGAGGAGGTGGAGGAGGATGATGATGATGAGGAGGAGGGGGAGGACAAGGATGCAGAGTAGGAGGAGGAGGCGGAGGAGGAGGCTGAGGAGGAGGAGGGAGGGGAGGAGGAGAAGGAGGAGGAGTAGGAGGAGGAGGAGGGAGGGGAGGAGGAGGAGGAGGAGGAGGAGGAGGAGGAGGAGGGGGAGGAGGGGGAGGAGGGGGATGATGATGGTGATGCTGATGACGCTGATGGTGGTGATGGCGATGATGATGATGATGATGATGCTGATGATGATGATGATGATGATGATGATGATGGTGATGATGATGATGATGCTGTTGCTGCTGTCGATGATGATGTTGCTGGTACTGCTGCTGATTGTTGGTGTTGTTGCTGATACGGATGAAGATGCTTATGCTGATGCTGCGGATGCTGTCGATGATGCTGATGACGATGCTGCTCATGGCGATGATGCTGTTGATGATTATGATGGTGATGCTGATGCTGCTGATGCTGATGATGCTGCTTATTCTGATGATGCTGATGATGATGCTGATTTCGATGATGCTGATGCTGCTGATGATGCTCGTTTTGCTGACGCTGCTGATGCTGGCGATGCTGATGATGATGCCAATGCTGACGATGATTCTGATGGTCAAAACTGATGCTGATGCTGGTGCTGATGACGCTGTTGCTGATGATGCGGCTGATGATCGTGATATTGCCACTGATGATGGTGATGGTGATTGTGACGCTGCTGATGGTACGGATGATGGCGGCATTGATGGTGATGATGCTTCTGCTGGTGCTGATGATAAGGATGATGCTGATGATGAGGATGCTGCTTATGATGATGCTGATGATGCTGCTGGTATTGATGCTGATGATGCTAATGATGATGCTGCTGCTAATGCTGATGATGCTGATGCTGATATTGATTATGTTGCTGTTGCGGATGATGCTGCTGATGATGCTGATGTTGATGCGGATGCGGATGCTGATGCTGATGCGGATGCTGCTGTTGATGATGCTGATGTTGATGTTGATGGTGGTGATGATAATGCTGATGACACTGTGATGATGATGATGATGATGATGATGATGATGATGGCGGTGATGATGATGATGATGATGATGATGATGATGATGATGATGATGATGATGATGCTGAACATGATGATGACGATGATGCTGTTGATGGTGATGATGATGCTGATGAGGAGGAGACGGAGGAGGAGAGGGAGGAGGAGGAGAAGAAGGGGGAGGAGGAGGAGGAGAAGGAGGAGGAGGAGGAGGAGGAGAAGGAGGAGGAGGAGGAGGAGAAGGAGGAGGAGGCTGCTGCGGCGCGCAAGCCCCATAAGCAGGAGGCGGAGGAGCAGGAGGAGTGGGACGATGATGGTGATGATGATGATGATGATGCTGGTGATGCTGATGCTGATGACGATGATGGTGATGCTAGTAGAGTTCGTGATGCTGCTGCTGATGATAGTGATGGTGACGGTGATGATAATGCTGATGTTGATGCCGATGCTGATGCTGATGATGCTGATGATGATGATGATGATGATGCTGATGGTGATCATGATCATGCTGATTGTGCTGATGATGGGGCTGGTGGTGGTGGTGGCGTGTGATGATGCTGCTGCTGATGATGCTGTATGCTGCTGCTGCTTCAGATGATGACGCTGCTGATGATGATGATGATGGTGATGATGACTCTGAGGATGATGATGCTGATGCTAATGCTGATGATGACGATGATGCTGCTGCTGCTGATGCTGCCGGGTGTGCTGCTGCTGATGATGATGAGGATGAGGAAGAGGATGAGGATGATGTTGCTGATGAGGATGATAATGAGGATGAGGATGAGGGTGAGGATGATGATGAGGATGAGGAGGAGGAGGATCAGGATGAGGATGATGATAAGGATGACGATGACGATGACGGTGCTGCTGTGGATGATGATGATGTTGATGATGATGATGATGATGATGATGATGATGATGATGGTGGTTTATGATGGTGATGATGATGATGATGATGATGATGATGATGATGCAGACGACGACGATGATGATTATGATGCTGATGATGATGATGTTGGTGATGATGATGAAGCTGATGATGATGACGACGATGACGCTGATGATGACGATGATGCTGCTGATGATGATGATGATAGTGATGATGCTGATGATGATGGTGATGATGAGGAGGAAGAGGATAAGGGGCAGGATGAGGGGGTGGATGAGGAATCAGTTGGTTTTCGGAAGTGTGTTTTTGTTCGGAGGTTATCCTGGTCAGGTTATTCCTCGTGGCGGGCGTTCCTGGGATGCCAGAGTCGTTCCAAGTTGCCGTCTGAGGCCAGAGTGTTTGCCCGAAAACCGACCTCCTCGCGCCGGGAGAGAGAGTGATGGCGGAAGCTTTTGCCAGTTTTCGGCGGCAGGTGGCCCTTGCCGGGCCCCAGGACTGTCGGGAAGAGGTCCAGCCCTCTGGAAGCCACGTTGTGAACATTATCCTGGCGAAAGGGTCAACCATAGGAAGCTGCGAGCACCTCGAGGCACGCGAGAGCGAGGAGGGCGAGCAAGCTGACGGACTGGCGCGCACATCCTGGCGGAGGGGCGTGCCGAAATGAGGCGGCGATGCCATGCAGACCCCGGCATTTTGGCCTTCGGTGGAGCTCCCTATCCACGAACCGCGTGAGGGGTGTGCCGAAACGAGGCGGCGGCGCGATGCGGACCTTGCCACTTGGGCGTTCGGTGGAGCTATATCTAGGGTGCCACGAAACGTGAGGGGTGGGCCGAAATGGGGCGGCGGCGCCATGCGGACCCTTCCGCTGTGGCGTTCGGTGCAGCTATCTATGGGGCCACGAAGCGTGTGAGGGGTGTACCGAAACGGGGCGGCCACGCAATGCAGACCATGATGCTGGGGCGCTCAGTGGAGCTATCTTTAGGGCCGTGACTACCGCTGGGGCGTTCGGTGGGGCTCAATGTGGGGCCACGAAACGTGTGAAGGTTGTGCCGAAATTGTGCGGCGATGCAATGCGGACCCTGGCCGCGAAATGTGTGAAATGTGTGCCGGCATGGGGAGGCGACGCCATGCGGACCCTGCCGCTGGGGCCATCGGTGTAGCTCCATATGTAGCCACGAAACGTGTAAAGGGTGTGCCGAATGAGGCGGCGGCGCCATGCGAGCCCTGGCGCTTGGCCTTAGAGTTGGAGCTCTCTTTGGGGCCACGAAGCGTGTGAAGGGTGTGCCGAACTGTAACGTGCGCAGGGCAGAGGCACGGAACGAGGGGGGAGGGGGAGGAGGTGAGGAAGCAGGGACGCGGGGCGGTGTGTCTTCACAGCGAGGGCCCAGCGGCACAGGCTGGTCTGGGAAACATGCCGACGTCGCATGTCTTGGTTGGGCGGGGGCGAGGGCCTTCGCAGTCCAGCCGGCCAGTCTGCCTCGCGGTCGACCGCACGGGGCAGGTTCGGCTCGGTCGGCGGCCGCGCCGCCGCGCCCTGCCTGGGCTGCCCTCGGCCCGTCGAGTCTCCGTCGGCCTCGGTGTCGCGGTCGGCTGGGCCGGTGTTCGGTGCTGCGCTCGCCGTGGGCGTTGCTGAGGAGCGGACGAACGAAGAACACACACCCATACCCATAACGGTGAGAGGAGGACTGGCCATGGGTATGGGTGCGGGTTGTCGGATCCTGGGGGGCGCTTCCTTTCGAGCGGGGACCCCCATCCGACAACACGCACCCATAGCCCGCTCCGTCCCACCTGTGGATATGGGTGCGTGTTGTTCGTTCGTCAGGAGCGGGATGAGTAGAGCCGGGGGCGGCCAAAAGGAGGGTGATGGCTGGGGTGGGCGTGTGGATTCATGTTTCTGTATACACAATCAACTAATATATTTATTCGAAGCGCCCACGCAGCGCCAGGAATAAGAAAAGGGGGGTCCCAGCTTCACGCTACCCCACTCCCTCCCTGGGCAAAAGGGGGGCGGGGCGTCGGAAGCTGCCCCCCCAACTCTGTCGGTAGTTGTTTAGCTGCGGGGGAGGACCTTCGATAAAAGGGGAGGGGTGGAAGCTGACCCCATCCCCCCGTTAATACTGCATCCCCCCTTTCTCCTTGTATCTGTTTTTTCCACGGGACTGAATATCTTTCAAATGAAACAGCAGGCGGAGAAGCCGAACTTTGATACCCCCTCCAAAGTTCTAGTTGTAGTTCTGATTGTGAGGATGCTTCAGGCGAACCGCGATCCAGATATCCTGACATCGATATCTCCGGCAACAGGTTTATTCCCCCGCCTGGACCCCGAATTTTCTTGTACCCAGGGGATTCTTATCACCAGCGTGGGTTTGCCCCCCACCTTCCCTTAAGTCGGGCCTGTCCCTCTACAGGAGGAGTTTTCAAAACTAGTTAAAAAAATTCCGGGAACGATTTTTTTTTACAATTTTTGAAATTTTTGGGATATTTTAGATCATTTTGGATTTTTCCCTCCAAATTTGCCTGTAGGGGGACATGCCCGACCTCAACCAGGGCTGGACCTAAACGATGTTTTGGCGATTTCGTGGGCCGTTTTCGGTTCGATTTCGTTTTGCGGTAAAGGCGGATTGAAGACAAAACGAGGGAAATCGAGAACAAAACGAAGTTCCGCCCGGACCTCAGCCTTCCCCCCCTCTCCCGGGCCCAGGCTGGGGGCCTGGGCTCCCCTCTCTCTCCCGGGGCGGGGGGGGGGCGGCGGGGCCTCCGAAGCAGCTCCCTTCCCCACCGGTCTTGTCTGGAGCTTGTAGCTGGCCGGGGCGCCTCGAGACGGGGGTCCAGGCAAGCGGGGGTCAGCGCCAGAACGCCGGAGCTTGCAGGATGCTGCAGGGACAGGGTCGCATTGGCCCGGGTTTGGGTACAGGGTCCTGCAGGATCTTGCAGGATCCTTCGCATTGACCCGGGTTTGGGTGCAGGATCTTACAGGATTCTGCAAGACCTGACTGGCCCAGGCCTGGATTGACCCGGGTCATGAGATCACCGAGCTGGGGGGGTCCCCTTGGCTGCCGCATTGGCTAAAGTCGAAGAAGAAAAAAACGCCACAGATATACATTTTCGGCGCTCCGCGCGGATTTCTTGGATCCTTGCTGGGCCCCCCATGTGGCGCCTCCGGCGCCGCTCCTGGCGCGCTCCGCGCGCCAGGGAGGGGGGTCCAGCGCAGATCCAAGACATCCGCGCGGAGCGCCAAAAATTTATGGTTGTGGCGTTTCCTTCCTCTGTAGAGGAGGGGCGGCCTTGGAAGCTCCCGCCCCCTTCCTCCCCCCCTTTTCGGGGCCTCGGGCAATCCCCGGCCCTCCTCTCTGGGGGGGGCTTCCGAAGCTAATTACCCCCCTCTCCTTTCCCAGTGTGTCGGCATTTCCAGCTGGAGGGCCTTGGCTGAAGGGGGGGGTCTTCGAAGCTACCTTTCCCCTGGTTGTCTGCGCCACTTTGGTTTTCGGCGCCCTTGTGACTTTCGGCGCTCCTTTGGATGTCGGCGTCCTTTGGGTTGTCGGCGTCCCTGTGATTTTCGTCGTCCCTTCGGGTTTCGGCGCCCCTGTGGTTTTCAGCGTCAGTGTGGTTTTCGTCGCCCTGTGGTTTTCGGCGCCCCTTTGGTTTCCTGCGCCCCTTTGGTTTCTGCGCACCTTGTTGGTTTTCGGCGCATCGTTGTTTTCGGCGCCCTTTTTGGTTTTCGGCGCCTGTTTGGTTTTCGGCGCCTCTTTGGTTCTCGTTGTTCTGTTCGTTTTCGGTTCCCTTTTGGTTTTCGGCGCCCTATTGGTTTTCTTTGCCCTTCTTGTCTTCGGCGCCCTCTCGGTATTCGGCGCCCTTTTGGTTTTCGGTGCGCCTTCGGTTTTCGGCGCGCACTTGGTTTTCGTCGCCTCTTTGGTTTTCGGCGCCCCTTTGGTTTTCGGCACTCTTTACGTTTTCGGTGCCATGTCTATGTTTTTGGCGTACTTTTGGTGTTCGGCGCCCCTTGAACTTTTGTCGCCCCTCCGGTTTTCGGTGGCGCTTCGGTTTTCGGCGCCCCTTTGGTTGTCGTCGCATTTTTGGTTTTCGGCGCCCAAGCCCCCCTTTCCCTTTCGCCAAGAACAAGGGAGGGGGGGAGCCTCTGGCAGAGGGGGTCCAGAGGGAGGGGGCGGGGGGTAGCTAAGCCCTCCGTCCTCTCAATCGGGCATTGAGAGCACGCCCGCCCAGACAAGGCGACTGAAGCAATCTGCACGGGTTCACTCGAGTTGGCATGCGAATGTGCCAGTGCAGTCCCTGGTCGGTTTCGAATCGACGTACGTTTCGGCGGATACAATTTTTCGCATTTGGATGTCGATTAGTGAGTCCATGGGGGTGTAGTCGAAATGCGGTGCTGCGCGCACCCGTGGAGTGCCCCAGCAGTTTTCGCTAGAGGGCGTTTTGCTAAAGAAGAGGTTCTTGTCAATCCTCTTTCCAATGGTCAGAGACACGTCGGGCGTCCCAAGACGATGCGGGACCACGCGCGTTGGTTGAGTCCGTGGACATTCTCGGTGGGCCTTGGAGCCCGCTGGGGGGCTCTGATGGCCCGACACGAGCTCCGGCCACGGGCAGGAGGAGAGGGGCTCCTTCGTCGCCACGGCTGGGCGCGGCTCGAAAAATCGGTCCGTCTCGACCGCGGGAGGGATCTGGGGACCGATTTTGAGCGAATTTGCATTCTTCCCCCCCCTCTTGGACCTACTTTCTCCAGGCTCTCACAGCTCCGAGCCTCCCTGCCCGCCTCCGGGGCGGGCCCACGGTTTTGGGACAGCCAGAGTCGTTCTCCGAGGACGCCTCTGGCGACCGGAGTTTTTAGGGCTTTGAAATCGTGTGGTGATGGGCTGTGCGGTGAGGTATTTGTCGGCGGCGAGCCCAAGGGGGAAGCGAGAAGGGGCGGGCCTTCTCAGAATGCTCCGGAGTTCAGAGAAGTGTTCCAAGCCTTCCCCGAAGACACGAACAACTTCCCAGAAGGCCGGAGCGCCTCCGAGAGGCCCCGCCACCTTCTGAGAAGGCCTTCTCCTTCTCACTTCCCCCTCTCGCTTGCCGCCGACGTTGGGGATCTCGGGATCACTCTGCGCGGTCTGTCGCCGCACGGCTCTGGGACCCCCAAGCATTCGAAGTCTCCGATCCCGCTCCGAGGCGGGAATTCATCCGTAGCCACCGCCTGGGGGTCGATCTTCGCGGGCCTTCACGGGCGGTGGGTACGGACAGATTCGGGCCCCCGAGGGCCAATATATATATATATATATATATATATGTATATATATATATATATATCCATATCCGCCGCCCGCCGGGGCACCAGGACGCCGGTTCCCAGGCGGTGGATATGGATGAGTCCCCGCCTTGCACCCGCTCCAGAGGCTCCAGGCGGCCTCCCTGGAGGAGCGCATGGAGGCGTTTGTGCAGATGCAGGCCAAGATGTTCAAGGCCGTGCGGCACCACGAGCGGCAGGTGGTCGTCCTCCGCCTTCTCCTCCTCCTCCTACTCTTTTTCCTCCTCCCCCATCTTCTCCTCCTCCTCCTCCTCCTCCTCCTCCTCCTCCTCCTCCTCCCCCATCTCCTCCTCCTCCTGCTCCCCCTCTTCCATAGTCTGTCCTCGTGAGTAATTCCTTCCTGTCGCACCCCCAGACGTGTTGATAGTGCGGGCTGGGCGTTTCGCCCGAGACATCCTCGCCGCTTGTGATCCTGAGTCTTGAAACTTGCAGCAGTTTCACGGAAGGAGAGCGGGCCGTTTTCAACATGGGGCCTTCACCTGAGCGTCGCGCACATTCGTTTCAAAAGTTTACAGCAATTTTGCATTTCGCGGGTGGAAGGCTATGTCTTTAAGACATGCGGCTCTCGCACCAGCACCGCGCACATTCGTCTTAAATGCTTGCAACCGTTTCACGGATGGAGGACGGCTCCTTTTCAAAGGGTGGCTCCCGCATCTGCGCCGTTCGCATGTGTTTTAAACTTTTCAGTGGTTCCAGGGTTCCGTATAGCCGAAGTCCCAGGGACGATGATTTGGCACGATGCAGCAGTGTCTGGACGTAACATTCACGTTGACTCGGGGGGTTGGAGATCGTGGAAGTGTGTTCGAACACGGCTCAGGATTGTTAGGACGCAACAGTCACGTTGATCCGTGGCGTTTGAATTCCAAGACCGGTTTTTCGGCACGATCTCAACCGTGTTCTAATGGGCTGTTTCCCGCAGTTAACAAACATTCCTTTAGGGACCTATGATCAGGCAGCTTGGAGGGAGATTGCAGTGCAATCTCACTGATGCGCTTTGGGTTTACACTTGTCCTCCTCCTCTTCCTCCTCCTCGTCCTGCTCCTACTACTACTCCTCCTACTCCTCCTTCTCCCCTCCTCCTCCTCCTCCTGCTCCTCCTCCTCCTCTTCCTCCTCCTCCTCCTCCTCCCTCTTATCCTCCTCATGCTTGATTCGAAACCACTCCTCCTCCTTTTCCTCCTTCTCCTCCTCTTTCTCCTCCAGGGTCAAGGCGTCATGGCGCCAACATCTCAAATTTGATTTCGTTTTGAAATCAATGGGAACGACTCGGAGCGTCCTGCAGAATTTCGTTCGGGATTTCGAAGCCAATGTCTTGCGGGTTCTTAGTGGCCAGGAGTGAATACTACAACCAATCCACGTTAAAGTCAGGCAGAAATGCGCTGCAGCACGTCTACAAGGTCGGTGCAGTGACAAGGCGTTGAAGATGCAAGCGGCAAACGTAGTTGAGTCTGCTGACTCCAAGGAGTCCAAGGAGCACCGACGGATCAAACTACCCGCCACCTGGCAGCAAGCAGATGTGCATCTCACGCATGGCATCATTGTTCACGCCTCCAAGCTCGATGCATGCCTGAAGCAGTGGGAATGCGTCTGGAGATCTGATCCAGGCGAGCCATCGTTTGGGGATGGCCTGCAGCTGGTAACGAATCCGAGCCGGTGTAGCCAGAGCTGATCCGGGCGGCGTCTCTCAGCCTCAAGCAGGAAGCGGCGTCGGGCGTCGACGGGCTCGGACCCAGACGCGGTCCTGCTGTGGAAAGGGTGCCTGGGCGCGTTCTCCAGGGCATTGGGCGTACACACTGTTCACGTCTAATTCTTCGAAAATTCTGATTTTTGTGGGGGCCATGATCTTTTCATTCTTAAGTGTTCTATCCTGGGCCTCTTCCTGGCCTCTAGGGGGCCAGGAACAATTAGAAACGAGCACAATTAGAACTGAGCACGATGAGAACTGAACGACGTGCAGTCGAGACGCTGCTGGAGGCTCCCCCGCGCAGATGGCCACGAAGATCGCTCCCAGGCTGCAGGCGCCAGACGTCCGGCGCTCCGATCTTGTCGACGCCTGGGCCCCCGGAGATCTGGCCAGTTTCCCGAGGGCCAGGAGGAGTAGGAGGAGGAGGAGGAGGGGGAGGAGGAGGAGGAGGAGGAGGAGGAGGAGGAGGAGGAGGAGGAGGATGGGAGGAGGAGGAGGAGGAGGAGGAGGAGGAGGAGGAGGAGGAGGAGGTGGGGGAGGGGGAGGAGGAGGAGGAGCTTTTCATGCTTCGTCGTTCTGTGACTGTCCCCGTGCCCACTGTGGGCCCCCCCTGGAGTTGGCAAGCACAGTGGGGGCCCATGACAAGAAACACACCCTGTTTGCCTCCAGGGTGCCCCGGGTTTCTTGGGTCTCGGCGGTTCTGTGATGGAAGGCGGGACGTTTGCACACCTAACATCCATGGGCGTCTTGGGGCCTCAGGGTTGGTTTTCTTGTGGAAGGTTTCTTGTGGACTGGCCTCCACTGTAGCCAAAAACTGGCCACTCCATTTTTTTCGCAGCCTCGGCTCTTTGAGCAGCCACAGTCGGTGGCCACCGGTTGGTTGATTCGACCGACTACGGGCACGCTCAGGGTCCTCAGCAAGTGCAGGAGAGCGGACCTCAGGACGCCCAGCTCGCCGAGAATACGGGAAGCAACAACCACTGCAGCAGGTGCGCACATGACACGAGTTCCTGCTGCGCAAGGAGTCTGGGGGCACACTTTGGAGTCGGCTGCGGGTCTCAGGGGGCCCCAGCACGGGCTCCGACCGGCAGGAAGGGGGCCTGAGATTCGAGGCTCTGGGCTCGAGAAGTTGTTTGTTGCCCTGCTCGGTGTCCAGGGGCCGTGTTCGGGCCCTGGGACTGTGTCAAAAACGGGTTTGGAGTGAACATCTGCACCAGAGGGATCCCAGGGGGGGGTTCTGGGGACCGATTTTGGGCGGATTTGGCTTCATCCCTCCCTCCGTAACATGTCCAATAAGTTCTGTAATGTAATCTTTGCACACGATTCAGTGACAGATGGTGGCCCAAGCACAGTGTACACACACATCTATATGTATATATATATATAGATGTTTCAACACCTGTCGCCCAGAGAACTGGCCCGACAATTTTACATTATGTGCAGGACATGGCCCAGGTACTTGAGTGCATGTATGCGCGATTCCTAAACTCAGACTCCACAGCCGCCTCCAAGGCACGCTCGCCATCCGTTTCTAATCCTCCTGCGGGGATTCAAAGCTTCTGTGGGTCTCCCGGGGTCCTTGCGGGATAAGAGCTCTTGTGGAGCACCTGCCAACAGGCTGCTGTCTTTTCGATGTGCCTACCTTATGCGACAGCTAGGCGAAGTTCAGAACGGGCAGTGTCGACTCAATCATTCGTGGCGGAGGAGGGCGAATTATCAACACGCGCGCGCTCATGGTCATGCTGGACCTTAAGGAAGATCTCTGATCAGGCACAGCACGTCGCACTGTGGGCCGTGGGGTGTAGGAGCGCGCTTCGGCGTAGAAGGTTGGCGCTGCTCATCAAGGCCTACCCTGGCAAGAGAAGCCTCAAGTTCGGAGCCATCGCGTCCAGGTTCGTGCATGTCGAGAACGGGTTCTCCTCCTCTTCCTCCTTCCCCTCCTCTTCCTCCTCCTCCTCCTCCTCCTCCTCCTCCTCTTCCTCCTCTGAGGGGCCTCTGAGCGTGTGGGAGACTCTCGCCCCCTCCTACGCTGCGCTCCTCCTCCTCTTCCTCCTCCTCCTCCTCCTCCTCCTCCTCCTCCTCCTCCTCCTCCTCCTCCTCCTCCCCCTCCTCCTCCTCCTCCTCCTCCTCCTCCTCCTCCTCCTCTGGGGCTGCACGTTGGCTACCACCATTATGCTCCTCTTTGCCCTCGGCGCGTGCGACCAGGTGTACTTCTCACATCTGGCTGGCACAAAAGACGGCCGTATGGAGAAATTACAAAGCGCGAGTATTCGGAGCTGCGGTCGATAGTTTTGGCGGCGGCAAAACGCGCGGGCTTTGAGGGTATCGCAGTTGCGCAGGCGCCCTCTCGTCCATTACAAGCGGGGGCCGAGTGTTATCAGAAAGGGCGTGCCGCGCGCGCAGGCACGGCGCCATGCAATAAGATTGCAGTTGGGGCCCATGCCAAGAAACACCCTGCTTGCCTCCAGGGTGCCCTGGGTTTCTTGGGTTTCGATGGTTTTGCGATGGAAAGCGTGACGTTCCCATCCCAAAACTCAATGGGCGTCTTGGGGTCTCAGGGTTCGGTTCCAGGTGGAAGGTTTACTTGTGGTCGGGTCCCCGCTGCATCAGAAAGGGCGTGCCGCTCGCTCGCTGGCGCGGTGCCGAGCAAGTGGGCTGCAATGCCGAATGACGGGGCCCGCGTGCATCCTCGCCTCCGAGTGCCGGGACGCGTGCGCGTGCTTCGCGCCGCTGCCGTCCAGCTGGCCTTGGAGACTTGCGCTCTGTACCGTGCGGCTGTGCTCAAGGAGGACCTCGGCAGCCTACCATATCCTCACGCGGCAAAGCCACCAGAGTGGCACCCGAAACGTGTTCTTCGGGAGCCTTGAGACGGGGGTCAATGCAAACAGGGGTGAACCAGAACGCCCGATCTCCCAGGATCCTGCATGGCCAGGGTCGCATTGACCCGAGTTTGGGTGCAGGGTCCTGCTGGATCTTGCAGGATCCTTCGCATTGACCCAGGGTTGGGCGCAGGATCTTGCAGGATTCTGCCAGTCCTGACTGGCCCCGGGTCTGGGTTGACCCGGGCCAGAAGATCCCTGAGTTATAAGTGTCCGCGCGCGGTAACAGGTTTACGCAGATATGGTGCAGCGCGAAGTGTGGAGATGGCCGAGCGCGTCGACGGGGGACCTGAGCAGTCTTGCGTGTGGAGGGCCGCCGAAACGGGCTGTGGGCCGCCTATGCTTCTCGTGTGTTTTGGAGGACAGATCCCACGGCGTGGTGCTCTGAGTGTGGAATTCGCTGTGTCTCTAGACTCGGCCACGCGCAGAAATTGGTGTATGGAGGAGGGGGAAGGCTTCTGATAATGATGCAGCTTATTAGAAGACGCGGGCCTTGTCTGTAGATGCAAGGCCCAAGCCTCCTCAGAAGCAACCTCCTTCTGAACAACTTCCCCTCCCCTTGCCCCCTTGCACGCGCCGCCAGTTTTTTCCAGAGTTTTTACGACTGCCGAAGCCATGTTTGTGAAAGCCCCCCCCAGGTTTATTCGATCTCTTCGAGGCATTTAAAAACCTGAGTGCCTGCACCAGGGTGGGGGTGGGGGGGCGCGTCTGGCGAGAGAGTAGGTCGGCAGCGGGATCCACTTCGGTGTTGCCCCAGCACAGGAATGCTCTGCGTGCATCGCCCCAGCGTGGGGGGGGCGATGTGCGCCCCGAGCAGTCTTATGCTGTAAGCTCCGTGGCGGGCGCTGTCTGGCCGTACTTTTCGGGAGACGATCTATGAGAGTCGGATTGCGCTAAGTGCTCGGTTCAGACGCGCGCCTCCGAAGATGACACATAGCACCAGTATGGCCGTCTGCGTCTCAGAGTAGGCAACGGGACCCACCGTTCCATTCTCGTTTCTTGGCGCAGCTATCCTGTGGCCCTCGCCATTATGAGTGTTCGCTTTGTTGGCCTGGCGCCCCATTTTCGGAGCCCTCCTCGTTGTTCGGAACCCATGACACCCCCTTCTTCTCCTGGGGGTCGAAAAAAAGATACCACTGAACGATCGAGATGCCACTGAACGATCGAAAAACAGATCCTTCTTCTTTCCTTTTCTCTCGAGATGCCACTGAACGATCGCCTGACGGCCGACGGGCGGACCCGACCCCACCCCATCTCCTCTTCCTCCTTCTCCCCTCCTCCTTCTCCCCTCCTCCTGGAGGTCGAGTCTTCTCCTCCTCTTCCTCGTCCTCCTCCCCTTCCTCCTGGAGGTTGACTCCCCTCCTGCTCCTCCTGCTCCTCATGCTCCTCCTCCTCCTCTTCCTCGTCCTCTTCCTCCTTATCGTCGTCCTCGTCGTCCTCCTCCTCCTCCTCCTCCTCCTCCTCCTCCTCCTCCTCCTCCTCCTCCTCCTCCTCCTCCCCCCTTCTTCATCTTCCTCTTTCTCCTTCCCCCCCCCACCCCTCCCCTCCTCCTCCTCCTGCCCCTCTTCCTCTTCCTCGTCGTCGTCGTCGCCGTCCTCCTCCTCTTCCTCCTGCTCCTCCTCCTCCTCCTCCTCCTCCTCCTCCTCCTCTTCCTCTTCTTGGAGGTCGAGCCCCCTCCCACCCAGCGCTCCTGACCGCTGCTGCGCGAGGTTGACATCCTCGGTTCCAAGGTGGACGACGTGTGGGGGCAGGTGCCGAAGGTCGTGGCCCTGCTGGAGCCGCTGCAGGCGCCGTCGGTCGTCGGCCGTTCGTCGTCCGTCGTCGGTCATCCTCATTGTCGGTCGTCGTCGTCGGTCATCCTTGGTCGCGGTTGTAGTCGTGGTCGTGGTCGTGGTTGTGGTTGTCTTCGTCGTCGTCGTCGTCGTCGACCGTCCGTCGTCGTCGGTTGTCGTCGTCGTCGCTTGTCGTCGGTTGTTGATGTTGGTCGTCGTCATCGTCAGTCGTCGGCCGTCGTCGTCCGTGCCTCCATCCCCGTCCTCGCCGTCGAGGAGGGCCCGACCCGAACGATCGATCGATCGGCCGGCGACGGCGACGCCCAGCAAGTTCTGCTGGCGCCCTCCCCTCGCAGGCGCAGGCCCTCCAGGACCAGCCAGCGGCCGGCGCGGAGGACGCCCGGTCTCAGATCCAGACGCTCCGGAGCGCCCTGGCCAAGGTCCTGCAAAATACGCTGGAGGACCTGGTGGTGGTAGTGGTGGCCGTCGTCGTCGTCCGCCTTCCGTCGCCCGTCGTCCGACGCCCGTCGCCCGACGCCCGTCGCACGTCGCCCGTCCTCCGTCGTCCGTTGTCGTCCGTCGTCCGCTTTTTTCTCTGTCTCCCCCTACTTTCTTCTCCTTCATCACTCTCCGCCTACTGCTCATTTTCTCCCCGTTCCTCCCCCCGTGCTCCCTCCTCCTTTCTCGTCATTAATTTCCCCTCCCGCTTCTCCGTCTCCTTCTTTCTCGTCCCCCTCCTTCCTCCTCCTTCCAGGTCCTCGTTCCTCGTCCTCCTTCTCCGCTTCCCTCCTCCTCTTCCTCCTCTTTCTCCTCCTCCTCCTCCTCCTCCTCCTCCTCCTCCTCCTCCTCTTGCTCGCTCCTTGCTCGCTCCTACTCCTCCTCCTCCTCCTCCTCGCTCCGCCTCGCTCGTCCTCGCTTTCGCTCGTCCTCGCTCCTCTTCCTCGTTCCTTCTCCTCCTCCTCCTCCTCCTCCTCCTCCTCCTCGCTCCTCCTCCTCCTCCTCCTCCCTCCTCCTCCCTCCTCCCTCCTCCTCCTCCCCTCCTCCTCCTCCTCCTCCTCCTCCTCCTCCTCTCCTATCCTACTCCTATCCTTATTCCTTATTAGAATATACTCCTACTCCCCCCTCAGGCCGGCCATTAGGGGCCGCATCCGGGTGGTCCCATCCTAACTTGTAAAAAACAATACAAAATCAACATTTTTCTTATTTTTTCCTCTCGACATGGACGTCCTGTCGTCCACGGCGATAATCCATTGCAAAAAATACCACAAAGAGCACACGCGCGCGTTCATGTCAGAATCCTACCGAACACCGTGTGTTTGCAAGCATTTCAACATAAAAACATCAAAAACCCAATGCTTTTTCACAAAAATTGTACAAATTTCCCGCCCGGGCTCTCTTGCTGAAATCATAGGAAAACCATAGGAATCTTAAGAATTCGGTCAAATCCAGCGATTTCACGTCATCGCGCGGTGCACTCGCGATGCTCTGTCATGCACCCAGGCCGCGAATCCTGTGCAAAAAATACCACAAAGAGCACACTCGCGCGTTCATGTCAGAATCCTACCGAACACCGTGTGTTTGCAAGCATTTCAACATAAAAACATCAAAAACCCAATGCTTTTTCACAAAATGCTTTGGGGTGTCCTGTCAGACCGTCGGGCTTCCTCCGGCCACCTCTGGCTTCCTGCGGTGTACCGGGCCATTCTCGACTCGTCTGGCAATGCGTGCGCGGCATTCAACACGCGCTCGCCAGTTCCCGTCGGCAACCGCCATCGCGGCCGCATCAGCTGTACCAAACCGGCTGGCCGGTGTGACTTCGGCCCCCAGTTGTGCCAGCTTTGCTTCTTATGTTGTGGGAGGGCGGGTGGGACTGGGCATGCCATGCTTGACTCGCTCGAGCTGGCTAGCTTGACTCCTACTCCTACTCCTACTCCTCCTCCTCCTCCTCCTCCTCCTCCTCCTCCTCCTCCTCGCTCCTCCTCCTGCTCCTCCTCCCCCTCCCTCCTCCTTGGCCCTATGGCTGTTGCTGCCTCAGCCGTCGCTGGCCGCGCCTGCTACCCCCCCGGGCAGCGGTGGAGAGCCCCAGTGGGGGGGGGGCCGGGTGCATGGCGCCGCAGGCGGTGGCCCTGCCTCGCTCCTCCTCCCCCCCGTCTCGCGCCTCCCTGCTGCTCCTCCTCTCTGGTGGGCTTGTTTTCCACCACCACCACCACCAGAAGTAGGAGGGGGAGGGGCTCCTCCTCCCTCCTCCTCCTCCTCCTCCTCCTCCTCCTCCTCCTCCTCCTCCCTCGTCCTCGTCCTCCTCCTCCTCCTCCTCCTCCTCCTCCTCTCCTCCTCCTCCTCCTCCTTCCTCCTCCTCCCCTCCTCCTCCTCCTCCTCCTACCTCCTCCTCCTCCTCCTCCTCCTCCTCCTCCTCCTCCTCCTCCTCCTCCTCCTCCTCCTCCTCCTCCTCCTCCTCCTCCTCCTCCTCCTCCTCCTCCTCCTCCTCCTCCTCCTTCCCCCCTCCAACTTTTGGTGGTGGCGGTGGAAAACAGGCCCATCGCTCGCTCCTTCTCTCTCCCTCCGGTGCGGGCCTCTGCTGCCCGGCCAGGGGGGGGGCTGCAGGGGCCTGCGGGGGGCGGGTCCCTGCGGCGCGGGGCCCTCCGTTCTTGGCCGAGCTCTTTCCTGCGTGGGCCCGCGGGGCCGCGGGCAGCTGCGTGAAGTCGGCCGACCCTGCTCTGGGTTTTGGAGGCAGCTCCTCGACGCGTGCAGATCAGAGGCAGGCCACTCGCAGGATGGAGCGTGGCCCGCGTCCCTCGGAGCGGGCGTGGAGGTTCCCGCCTCTGCGCCGTCGCCCGTCCCTCCCGGTCCTGGTCCTGGGCCCGGTGGGCTTGGCTCCTGGGGACTTTCCTGCGGCGACGGTCACGGCGCCTCCGTGTCGGAGATGAGAGGGTTGCTGCCAGGCTGAGGCTGCACGACGCAGCCCCCGACCCCGAGTCTGACGGCGCCTTTTCGGGGTCCGATTCGATTCGTTTGATTTCTTGTTTTGTTTTTTGGGGACCCGTCCCCGTCGTCGTCGCCCGCCCCCTCCCCCCTGTCCCGCCGCATACGCCCACTGCTTCAGCATGGCGTCGCCGCTGGAGGGCAAGGCGGGGCGACCCCGACGCGAGGTGCTGGGGCCCGCGCCTCCGCCCCTTTGTAATGGCTGGCGGGTGGGGCTTCGGAACTTGGACCACCACTTCGGGGCGTCTCCCATTGGTAGTGGCGCGATGGCTCTCTCCATCCCTCCTCCCTCCCCCCCCCTCCCCCCTCCTCCTTCCTCCTCCCTCCCTCCTTCCCTCCCTCCCTCCCTCCCTCCTCCTCCTCCTCCTCCTCCTCCTCCTCCTCCTCCTCCTCCGCCTCCTCCTCCTCCTCCTCCTCCTCCTCCTCCTCCTCCTCGTCCTCCTCCTCCTCCTCCCTCCTCCTCCCTCCTCCTCCCTCCCCCTCCCTCCTCCTCCCTCCTCCTCCCCCCCTCCTCCCCCCCTCTTTCTCCCTCCTCCCACCTCCCTCCTCCCTCCTCCCTCCCTGCTCCCCCCCCTCTGCCTCCGAGGACCTCCGTGCCGACCTCGACCAGTCTGTCGCCGCGCTGCGGCTGGAGCTCGGTGGCGCCCTGGGCGCCAAGGCGGGCGCCAAGGACCTCGCGGCGCTGTCGAGCCGGCTGGACGCGTGGGCGCAGCAGATCTCGGCGGGCACGCGGGACGCTCTGTGCTCCCTCCTCGCTCCTCGTCCCTCCTTGCTTGTCCCTTTCCTCCTCTCGTGATCCCCCTCGCTCCTCCCCCTTCCCGTCTCGTCCTCCTTCGCTCCTCCCTTCGTGCTCCTCCCGCGCTTCCCTCGTCCTCCCTCCTGATCGTTTCTTGCTCCTCGCTTCTCGCTCGCTCGCTCTTCCTCCTCTCCCTCTTCCTCCTCCAGCTTCTGCTGCTGCTGCAGCTGCTGCTGCTGCTGCTGCTGCTTCTGCTCCTCCTCCTCCTCCTCCTCCTCCTCCTCCTCTTTCTCCCCCTCCTTCTCTTTCCCTCCTTCCCTCCCTCCCTCCCTCCTCCGTCCCTCCCTTCTCCTCGTTCCTCCTCTTCCTCCTCGTCGTCGTCGTCCTCCTTCTCCTCTTTCTCCTCCTCTTTCTTCTCCTCTTTCTCCTCCTCTTTCTCCTCGCTCCACGCTCCTTCTCCTTCTCCTCCTCCTGCTCCTCCTCCTCGGGTCAGATGGAGAGGGGGGGGGGCGGGAGGGAGGCAGGGAGGCATGGAGGGAGGTAGGCAGGCAGGCAGGCAAGGAGGGAGGTTGAGGCAGGAGCGAATGAAGGGAAGGAGGCACGCTGGGAGGCAGGCCAGGAGGAAGCTGATCATGATGATGCTGATCATGATGGCGATGCCGATGCTGGTCATGCTGATGATGCTGCTGCTAAGGATGCTGATGGTTGTAACGATGAGGATGATGATACTGATACTGCTGCATTTGATGATGATGATGATGATGATGCTGCTGATGATGATGATGCTGGCGGTGCTGCTGCTGATGCTGATGATGATGCGGATGCTGATAATGCTTCTGATGACGCTGATGATGCTTACGTTGCTGATGATGATGCGGACGATGCTGATGCGGCTGCTGATGATGATGATAGCGATGCTACTGATTATGCTGATGGTGATGTCGATGGTGATGCTGCTGATGAAAATGATGGTGCTGCTGATGCTGCTGATGATGCTCATGATGGAGACGATGACGATGAACATGATGCTGCTGCTGTTGGTGATGCTGATGTTGATGATGCTGCTGGTGATGATGATGCTGATGCTGCAGATGATTTTGATAATGCTGACGCTGATGATGCTCATGCTGACGATGACGATGATGATGCTACGGATGGTGATGCTGATGCAGACGATGTTGATTATGATGTTGATTGTGATGATGATGATGCTGATGATGCCGATGATGTTGATCATGCTGATGCTGCAGGTGATGATGATGATGCTGAAGAAGGAACCCTTTTCGTTTGGGAGGGGCTCCGTGTTCCTTAGTTGTTTTACAGTGTTCCTTGGGTTGTCCTGCGGTTCTCCATGGGAAATCGGAGTTTGGCTTATGAGAAACAGGGGCCTCGTTCCTTATTTAGGGTTCCTTGGGTCAACGCCCCAACTGTAATCATGATGCTGGTGATGATGACGCTGATGATGATGACGACGATGACGATGATGATGATTATGACTTTGCTGATGCTGATGATGATGATGACGATGATGATGATGACGATCATGGCGATGCTGATGGTGCTGATGATGGTTTTGGTGGTGGTGATGATGATGCTGCTGATGCTGATGATCTTGATGATGCGGATTATGATGGTGATGATGACGCGGATGATGTTGATGATGCAGAGGCTGATGATGTTGCTGCTGATGCTGATGATGATGCAGATGGTGATGTTGATGATAATGCTGATGCTCATGATGATGACGATGACGATGATGCTGCTGATGTTGCTGCTGATGATGATGGTGATGCTGATGATGCTGCTGATGATCATGCTGATGCTGGTGCTGGTGATAATGCTGATGCTAATGATGATGCTGATGATGATGATGGTGATGATGATGATGATGACGATGCTGAGGATGTTGATGGTGGTGGCGATGCTGTTGATGGTGCGGATGATGATGATGCTGATGATGGTGACGATGATGAGGAGGAGGAGGAGGAGGGGAATAAGGAGGAGGACCCGAGGAGGAGAGAGGAAGAGGAGGAGGAGCAGGAGGAGGAGGAGGACCAGTGGAAACCCAAGAGCCATCAACAATGTTGGAATACACCCTCCCTCCAAGCTCCCTCTTCATAGGCCCCTACAACGGTTCATTTCCACTGAGGGATCTGCCTCGTTGGAAGACAGCCATTTGAAGTCCTGGAAGCATGCCAGAGCATGGTTTTCATAATTTCAACGCCACGGGTCAACCTGACTGTTGCGTCTTGACGATCCTGGATCGTGCCAGTACGCCATTCTTGGGATTTCAACACCGCGAACCAACGTAACTGTTGCACCCACAAAACCTGGAACCCTTCCAAAACGCAATCTCTGGTACGTTGTTCGTGGCAATCCGTGAAGACCTCGCAAACGTTTAAAACCAATGTGCTCGGCGCTAAGACGAGAGCCACATTTTGAAAACGGGTTATCCCCAATCCGTGAAGTTCTTGCAAGTTTTTTAAACGAATGTGCGCGGCGCTACGGCGAGAGCCACATGTTGGAGACGGGTTGTCCTCAATCCGTGAAGCTGTTGCTGTCTGTTAGAACGAATGTGCGCCGCTCTAAGGCGAGAGCCACATTATGAAAGCCATCCGCTCTCCATCTGTGAGGCTGTTGCCAATTTTTATGCTTCAGAGACATCGATGCTGAGGAAGTCTCAGGCGAAACGCCGGGCTCGCCCTAAAAACTAGCCTCGGGGTGCGACAAGGAAAAGTTATTTGTCAGGTAAAGGAATGGAGGAGGAGGAGGTGGGGAAAGAGGAGGAAGAGGAGGACCAGTGGAACCCCAAGAGTCATCAACAACGATCTTGGAATAAGTCCTCCCTCCAAGCTCCCTCTTCATAGGCCCATTCCTGGGACTTCAACACCGCGAACCAGTGAACCAGCGTAACTGTTGCACCCTGAGAATCCTGAATCCTTCCCAAACACAATTTCTGGTTTGTTGATCATGGGAACCCGTGGAATTCATTCAAATTGAAATGAACACGAATGTGTGCGGCGCTAAGGCGAGAACCACGTGTTGAAAAGGAACCGCCCCCCAATCCGTGAAACTCTTGCAAATGTTCAAAACGAAGGTGCGCGGCGCTAAGGCGAAAGCCACATGTTGAAAACAACCCCGCCCTCAATCTGCGAAATTCTTTCAAGTTTCTAAGGCGAATGTGCGCGGCGCTAAGGCGAGAACCACATTTTGAAAACCAGCCGCCCTCAATATTTGAAGCACTTGCAGTGTTTAAAACGAATGTGCGCGGCACTGAGGCGAGAGCCCCATTTTGAAAACGACCCGCCCTCCCTACGTGAAGCTCTTGCAACTGTTTACAAACGCATGTGCGCAGCGCTAAGGCGGGAGCCACATTTTGAAAACCACCGGCCCTCAATCCGTGAAACTCTTGCAAGTTGTCAGAACGAATGTGCGCGGCGTTAGGGCGAGGGCCACATTTTGAAAACGACCCGCCCTCCATCTGTGAATCTGCTGTTCATAAGTGGTGAGCAAGTCTCAGGCGAAACGCCTGGCCTGCCCTAAAACATGGCCCCGGGGTGCGACAGGGAGAAATTATCTATAAGGTAAAGAAATGGCGGAGAAGGAGGAGGAGGAGGAAGAGGAGGAGGAGGATCGGAGGAGGATGATGATGAGGAGGAGGAGGAGTAGGAGGAGAATGAGGAGGAGGAGGAGCAGGAGGACGAGGAGGTGGAGGAGGAGGAGGAGGAGGAGGAGCGAGGAGCGAGGAGGAGGAGGAGGGGGGAGGAGGAGGAGGAGGAGGACGAGGGGGAGGAGGTGGAGGAGGAGGAGGATGAGGAGGGAGGAGGAGGGGAGGAGGAGCGGGGGAGGAAGAGAGGAGGAGGAGGAGGAGGAGAAGAGGAGGAGGGCGAGGGGGGAAGAGGTGGAGGAGGAGGAGGAGGAAGGAGGAGGAGTTGGGGGGAGGAGGAGGGAGGGAGAGGAGGAGGAGGAGGAGGAGGAGGAGGAGGGGAGGAAGAGGAGAAGGATGAGGATGAGGGTGAGGGTGAGGAGGAGGAGGAGGAGAGGAAGTAGAGGAGGAGAAGGAGGAGGAGGAGGAGAAGAGGATGATGATGATGATGATGATGATGATGATGATGATGTGATGATGATGATGATGATGATGATGATGATGATGATGATGATGATGATGATGATGATGATGATGATGATGATGATGATGATGATGATGGTGATGGTGATGGTGATGGTGATGGTGATGGTGATGGTGATGGTGATGGTGATGGTGATGGTGATGGAGGAGGAGGAGGAGGAGGAAGAGGAGGAGGAAGAGGAGGAGGAGGGGGAGGAGGGTCGGTCGGTCGATCGCGGACCACGGGTGACTCAGTCAGCTGAGTCTGCTGTGCTGGGAGGGTGCAGGCATCCTGGTTAGCCTGCATCCAATCGAATGGCCGACTTGTTGGTGAATCGGCTAAGAAGGAAACGGGGAACGTGCCGAAATTTGTGAGGGAGACCCCTGGTGCTGAGGCGCCAGGACGGGGTCGCTGGCCTCTACCCCCCTCGCAGGCCGCTGAGGGGGGACTCGTGCCAGAGAGACATGGGAAGACAGCGAGAGAAAGAGAGAGAGAGGGAGAGAGGGAGAGAGACATAGAGAGACAGAAAGACAGAGTGATAGAGAGAGAGAGAGGGAACGGGACGGAGAGAAGGCTGCCAGTCCTTCAGTGCTTCGGGACGTCACACCTCCACCCGACCATGTATCTCACCCACCTCCCGTCCTTTCATATGTGGTGGCGGCCTGGAGCCACCGGTGCAGGTCGGCCTGCACCAGCCGCAATTCGTGTTCGCGAGGGGTAGGAGAGGCAGGCGGAGGAGAGGCGGAAGGCGCGAAGCGGGAGGCGCCTCGCCTCCATTTCCTCTGCCTTCGCAGCCTCCGCCCTGCGCCTCCGTCTGCGGAGCGTGTCGGCACGATTGGCCGCGATGCGGTCGAGCCCAGCAACAGGCAGCGGGGAGGGCTGCGGCGGCGGTTGGCCGGGCGGGGAGGTGAGGAGGGGGGCAGGTCTCCGCAAGACTGTGGAAGAGAGCTCAACAGCGACGTAATGTGAGCCGTGGGGCTCTTGCTCTTCATTAGAGTGCAAGATATCCTGAACCCACGGAGGAGGATGAGGAGGATGAGGATGAGGAGGAGGAGTTGGAGGGTCAAGGAGGCTGCGGGCACGCAGGATGTTATACCTGTGTTTTGATTTGCCCCTGTTGGCAAAGTCAGGGCCCGTACCCAGCAACTTGTTCAGGGCACGGACACGACGTGACAAACACTTGCACGATATCTAAAACATGAGTGTCCTGCAATTCGTCATTGGCATCGTTAGCAACAGCCTTTGTGATATGATCGAACATGGCCAACGCTACCTGCTTGCGGCGCCGTGCGCCATCTAAGTGCGACTGGCGCTTTGTGACAGCCTCTGGGATGAGAGCATTTACCTCTGCTTGGCGTGTCAGTGACTCTGTGCTGAATGCTGGATAAACGAGTCGATCGACTCTGGGTGGGCGCACCCCCTGACTGTCCAAACTCGCACTGATGAAGCGAGGTGAGGGAAGAGACATATGAAAAGGCAGCCAGAGCACGAATGGGTTGGACATGCCAGGAAGGCATGGCTCTCTCTTCCCGGTGGTGAGGGGGGGCTGGGTGCTCCGCCCACCCTCCAGCATTGCATGCAGCAGCAGCGACTCGCAACTCAGTCACTGCCCGTAGCAGCTGGTGCGATATTGTAGTGGCCTTCGGCCAGTGCCGCCCATCCGGGGCGCTTCGACTGATGTGATCCTTCTTCGCCCTCGTCCCTCCTCTCTTTTTCCCTCCCCTCCTCTCACTCAGCATTTATCCAGTGGCCGTCGGCCTATCCCGCCACCGTGCGTGGGTGGTGGGTCAGAGGCCTCATGGATGCTGGTTGGGATCTCGTGGTTGGCTGGGACTTCTGGGGGCCTCTTGGGCGCCTCTTGGGGCTTCTTGGGGGCCTCTTGGGGGGGCCACTAGAGGGCCTCTTGGGGGTCTCTTGGGAGCCTCTTGGGGCTTCTTGGGGGCCTCTTCTGCGCCCCTTGGGGCCTCTTGGAGGCCTCCTCGGAGCCTCTTGGTGCGGGAGGGGTGGTACTCGAGTTCGGAACCCCCTCGGAGGCCACGATCCTTGTGAGGGGTGTCAAAAAACGCATCCGCCGGAAACTCGCCCCCCCCCCCCCCACCCCCCCTTCCCCTGCAGAGCCACCCCGGCAACCCCCCCAGAGGCTGAGGCTCAGCCTCGAGGCTGTAGCT